GAATGGAAAAAGGTCAAATATGATGAAGCATGGATCACATGTGAGCTCTTTGACAACGTTCAGAATAACTACATTATTCATTGTCTCTATGGCTTCTAATACGGATTTTAATAGGATGTTATTGTGCTGGCCAGCACACTAATTCCTTGTTGTGGTTTAAAATGTCTAGGAAAACATGAGAATGTTGTAATAGTTTATCTAAGTTGTTTGTTTGTTTGTTTGTTTGTTTCTTTTTATCTTGTCTACACAATTTGTTCCTATTCTTGGGCTGCAACCATGCTGTGCTTTGGGCAAGAAGGACACTGAAGTCTTTACTTTGAAATTCATGGGGGAAAAAAAGAAAAGTAATCAGATTTTCAAACCGAACCAGTTAAGTAGGGTGGAGAGATGTGGGAAAGGAAAAAGAGTGCCTCATTTTGTCCTGGTCATGCCAGCATTTCTTACATGGTTGACAAAGGACTTATAAACTTAGCAAATATTTAATTTGCTCTGTCCTTTAACCTTTTAAAGTTTTTGTAGGATGTTTAGCTCTGAGTCATGCCATGTTTTGCAATAATCTGAGATCATTAATACTGAAATAGTCTTTCAGAATTATTTAGTTGATAACTGTGCAATTAATAATTAAAAACACAACACCACAACCAATAGGAAGCAAACAGAATTTAAATAGTACTGAAATCATAATGGAAGCCAGAAAATACAGAACTGGGACAGAATATACATCCTGACCATTTAAGTCACAGTGATGTCTCTCACAAACACTTGCCGTCCGAGAAGCCACTGTATGTTAAATTACTCGTCCACAGTACTTGGTGAGTAGTGTCATAAACCAGTAACTTGAAATGATATGATAAAACCCACAAAGTACAGGGAGGATAACTTGAAGATAGCTTCTGCTGAAGCACTCTCCATTGAGAGAATATTTGAGAGCATGGTCTACAGAGACATAATGGCAGTGTTGACTACCATAAGTATATCTGACAGAAAGGGATGCTCAGAATCATGGAAACAAAGCAAAACTGGCTCCAGCACGTACAGATAGTCTTTGTGTAGTACCACCTGCTAGCAAGAACCCACATGTGGGCCAGCTTTTCCTAAAGAACAATACTAAATAACAGCAGAGGACTGAACTAAGTTTTTGTTAATTCTTTCAGTTTAAATAACTTACGGTGCTGTCTTTTATTATAAATATTTCTCAACATTGACACTAAGCTATAGAAGTAGCAGAGCCCCTATACAAGCAATTTACTTTTAATAGCACATGGGTACTGTTGTACCTGTAGGAATGCTGAATCAGGACACTGGGACAGCTGTCCATAGTTGTAAGTCACCACTGGCAATGCTACTCAGGCTGACATAACTTAGGTACCATGTCTGCTTTAAAGAAGAAAATAAACATGATAAGAATTTTTGTACATCAAGCACTTCTGCCTTTGGGCTGCAGTAATTGCATGTCCATTGCTTTATCTGTATGTGTTCTTTGTCAAGGCCTAGATAGGAGGAGGGAGAGGGGAGAAGAGGGATACCAGCAAGGAGAGATCAAAAAGATTGCACCAAAGCAAGCCAGAAAAATTCCCAAAGCAAGTCAAAACACCAAAGCAAGAACAATTAACTGTTTATAGATCAAGTTCACAGCAGATAGGAAAGAAAGCAAACCCAAAAATGTAAGTAGGAGTGTTCAGAAGACAGAATAAGCTGTTTCTGTCATTTAAGTTCTCTCAGTTACCTGATACTGTGTTTATGCTTTTCTAGGATTCTGCTGTAAGTCTGGTTTATTTTATGTCTCTGGTTAAAGAACTACAATTCTGGTAATTGCACCCCCAGAAGAGTAAGCCATTCATAATAGAATTTTCTTTCTAACATGATTGGTCTGTCTGAGGCACACAACAGAATTAAGAATTCCTGAATTAAGAGTATCCATAATGATATGTACCTTTAGTAAAGCATCATTCTGCCCAGATTTCCCGGCATACAGCAAGCATCCATAGCATTGCAGCAGAGATGCTCTGGATACAAAACTATGTTTCTTTCACAGTGGAAAATGTCAGGTGCCCTCAATTCAACCTCATTTGTTAATAATGAAGACAGAAGAATCTAGCAGCTAGTTATACACATACAGTCATACTTACTGTGTAGGCAGAAACCAAAATTCTGAGAAGACCCAATGTCAAAAAGCTTGGACATCAGGTCCACTATAAAACTATCTGATTATTATGATTTGCCTTTGTAACACAGCTCACTAAAGACCTGGTCATCCTTTTATCTTCCAAAATGTCTGGAAATTTATGGCTAATTACAGCACAGGAAAATTTCTCAGCGATCCATGACAGAACCTCTCACAGTATTGCTCAACACAATTACTTCTCTGCTTAATAAAATGCCATTCTGCTGACTTGACTGATGGCATCACTGCAATTTCCTTGTTGGTCCACTTTTTTCCACAGTCCCAGCTCATTATTCCTCTTATCCCCACTTGAACCACAAATTCATTTCAGTATTAACTTAAAAAGGTTTTCATTTTGCCGTTTCCAACCTGGCTTAAGAACACCAACTCTTATTTCCTAAAAATAACATCTAGTTCTTATGGCTGGTTCAGAGAGACCTTGAAAACATTTTTCTATCTTGTATTTCTGCTGCTTTTTGGTGAGGAGTTTAGCACACAAGCATTTAAGCTGAGGTTGACTGCAGGTGTACAGGACTTCAGCTGACAGCTAACGTGGGCCTTAGGGAGGTGCAGAAGATGGGAGGGAAGATGGCATGGGGTTATTTAGCATTTCCATAGAAGGAACATAGCTCCTTGAATACTGGTTCGAGAGGAATCTGTCTTGTAGTCTAACACTTTGGCATTCAAGATGGCAGTGAAAGTAGTAAGTCGAGAAAGTTCCCTCCACCCTTTTAGAATCTAGTGTATTTGAAGGCAGAGTAGGAATACCAATAAATTCTTATTCTGGTAGACACCTTGCAAGTACTCACAAAGCTTATTGAGGAGATTGCTGGGGTTTTTTTTTACAAGCAGTTTCAAAACCAAACCATAACATGTATCAGACAGCTTGCATTCATTTACTCTTGGCTGACAACTTAAGACAGGTGTCTCCTCCCAAGCAGTTCAATACATCTATCTTGATGCAGGAGAATTATAAAAAGGCTGTGTTCAACTTTACATGGGACTTGCATATTGCACAGGCTATGTGTTATGTTTGGAACTGAATTTCATCTTAGTTAATGCATGCTCCATGTAATATTGTGAACAAATTTAGAGGATGCAACAGGTGCAGATGTGTTTGTGTTTGAGAGGGTTAGTGACATCTTGAAATAGTCACATGAGCAATGGTCCAGGAATGTGATAGAGCTGAGGCTGGATTGCTGGATTCAGGGATGGATTGCTGAATAATCTACAGTCCCCTAAGAAGTGACAAATTAAAAGGTCTATCAAACTGGCACCCTACTGCACTTTGCAGCTGTGAGAAAATGTGGATAGCCACATACACAGCGTGGCCTTCCCCAGGGAAGGCAAGGAACCATTCATGTGCTGCAAAGTATTAAGGAGGTCTGTCATCAGTGATCAAGCACAGACGTCAGGTAATGGTGACATGGGAGTGTGCACCAGGCAGTCCAGTGTTATCAGTGGCCATCCTTTATCTGCCCCACCTTTGTGTATTCATCATGCCAAACACCTAGCTACATAGCATTTCAACATTTCACTGGTGTTGCTCATGCCAATATGTAACTCTTCGTTAGGATGACACCAGGCACTTTACTGCCTTCTTCCCAAAGGGCATACTCCTCCCTTCTCTTTCCCTTGGTGAGTAGAGTCCTGTGAAGTTGCTCTTTGAATCACCAGGGGTTTGTTTCTGGCCTCCACACCAGGCTACTATGCAGTGATCTGTGTGGAGAGCTGTAGACTGTTTTGCATCTTGCTTTTCTTGTACCACTTCCACCCTTGTGCAATGCGTTGGAATGGTTTTCGGGACCTTGGCAGCTAGCTGTGCTCTCTCCTTGGGTGTGACCCTATTTCCATTTTGCCATGCTACGTGACCAGGTGGCTCAGCATATGCACGGTACACCTGTGCACCCTCAGAGCTGAGAAGGTTGCGACACAAAGATTTTAGTAATAGTTCATTCCTCCTGACCAGGCTTTTGCTACTTTATGCGCTATATAATGCATACGATAATTAGGAATGTGTGTATATATATACATATATGTGTAATTTATTGCTCTGTAGTTCCAGCTGCAGTATAATAATGGGTTTGCAAAGGGTAGTCATGAAAAACTTCTCTCTTTCTGGTTTTATTCTCTTGAGAACTGAAATACAGTGAATAAGCTGGAATGCTTTGTCACTTATCCCTTTAAAGCAAGCACTCGATCTGCCATGCTCAAGATCTGCAAAATCAAAGCGTGATCCACTTTAATAAAGAGTTGCCTAAACTGCTGTTTGTGTAAGATTTAGAGATTCCAGAAGAAATCTACCATTCCTAGAAATTAGCATTGTTCATATAATTTTCAAAATCACAGTGGGTAACATTTCAGCAGATAAGTTTTGAGTTTATTGTGGTTGCAAACAATATCTAAAGATTTAAATAGAATATAATGTTTTGTTCTAAAGACATTGCTTTTTAATAATGGAACTTGACATCATAATTTCCTCTAAATTATACCTTATGACATGCAAATAAAAATATAGCCTCTTTTCCTCTCACATCTTTACAATTCCCCTCACTTTTTTTTTTTTACCTTTCATTTTACCAATTTGATTTCTAGGGTATATTTACTGAAAAAGAGAATAATTGTCTAGGAGGCAAATAAGGACTGAGAGGTGTAGCTTTTGAAAAGTCTGAAAAATCTGAGCAAATGACACTGTAAATGTTTAGCAACCAGAATTTAGATAAAAAGAACATCAAGATCTGTTTACTTTTTTGTACTTCATCTAGAGAAAGTCGTGATTTTAGAAGGCTTATCAGTGGTAATTCTGGATATTACCCTTCCCTCTTCTTCAGGGGAGTTTTGATTGTTTTGCTTCTGGGAATGCTGAGGGTATGTTTTGTCTTTGGCACGTAAGACTTAATTTTCATCAGATAAATTTCTGACTCTTGGACCTGAAAAAGAAAACCACTTTCCAAACATGCAAAAGGTACAGACAGTTTGTGAGGGTTTTTTCCCAAACGGCCGCCCAGCGAAACGGCAGCTTACCCTGCTTGTTGCTGGCTGATGTTCAGAGCCTTGTGCACAGCTGGGAAACTGAAGAGACTTGTCACATTCATCGTGTGGCTGGCTGGGAGAGCCTGAGTTGCAGCAGAGACAAAAGATGGAGTCACTCGCAGGCGAAAAAGGTGGGTAGCTAGAGGAAAACCATACAGGGTAGCAGAGATTTGTCTTCCCACCCCTTTCCCCCCAGGTGCCCGGAAGGCGTGGGAGGGAAGAGGTAGAGTAGGAACAGGAGAGAAGACCCACACCTGCCTTCTACTCACTTGTCATCTGCCAGGTTTTAATGGTAGGCAACCAGCTCCCTCCTGTATTCTTGAGCACTGGCAAATAATGGACTAAGCTCATGCAAAGTGGTCCCCACGAGTTGCTAATGGAGTGCCTTTACCATATTTTATTCAGAAAGGATCTCACATAGTTTGAGCCCAACACTAGAACTGTTGTAGTTAAAACTGTGTTTGGTTAGTCATGACTGCTTTTAAGGGTTAGCCTTAAAAGCACCTTTGTCACGTCTCTTGTTCTAAGCCACAGACACCAAAGCCAATCCTAGAGTATGTTGGATTGGCCTACGCCCAGGCTATTGTCTTCTTGAGAAATTCAGCTGCAGAATCAATAATCCGGTGTATTTCTTGACATCTCCTTGAAATGCTGGTATTTCTGAACAGTATAGATCGACCCAATTCCTTGTTGCATTATTGTTAATCAACAAAATACATTTTTAGCGGTAAGACCTGACATTTTTTTTAAGAATACCAGGTAGGAATTTGAACTTTCATCTAATTATCCAGCAGTAGCAGCAGTGAGATTTAAATGCCCTTGCAGTTACATCTCCTTTAGCAGCTAACCTAGTTTGGGTGAAGAGTAGGATAATGCAACGTGTCTGTAATAATGTATCTGTAATAGCAGGAAAACATATATCTCCCTTTTTCTTCAGAAGTAATAATGTATCTGTTTTCTGGACAGGCACTTATTGTTTATTTTAATGCTTTATATCCTAATTAGGCTGTTTGGAGCCTAAAATAAACACACCTCAGAATGCAAATGCATTTCATTAAAACATTTTCTCTTAGAAGTTTCTCTTCCTTAATGGTGAATATTAGGCAATACTGATGTAATAGTGGGATTAAGAACAAGGAGTTTGCAGGACTGTTCTGCTTGATTTAATTTTTGCCCACTGCACTGCAGGGAACCAGTGGGTCTTGAGTCATTCCTATCTTCTCTGTACTGGTTTTATAAAGTTTATTCTAATTAATAATAAGGCAATTCTCTGTAATAATTATTGTAATAATTAGTTTGAGCGAATTCTGGGAGCCTTAGGTGAACACTGTTATTTAGAATAAATGCTAAATTACAACATTGTAATTCAAATGTAAAATGAGATGTCCAGCCATTTTTATAAAGTCGGGATATGGTATTTTAGTAATAACAGTTCCTTGTACTTAATACTCTTCATCTGTATATGATGAAAAATCTGTACATCAAAGAAGTTATCAAGGGGTGTAAACGCTTTATACATTTTACAACAGGGCTCTTTGAAATACATAGACTATCAAACCCAAATTTTCCAAAGCAGCTGCTCTGCTGGGTGGCTTCGTACTGGGGGGGTTGACTTGAGACACATTTCAGTTGAAAGTTTCTGTTTGTTTAAAGGTGTCAAAGGGTAACCTGGCATAATGTTCAGAAGAGGTTACATTGTGTGATATTGATCTAATGAGAAGTTCCGTGGAGAACAGAGATGCTATTGATTTCATATTTAAACACACTTTGATTAAATATTGTCATTTTTCATCCTACTAAATGGTTTTCAGAGTCATAAACATACAGTAATTTTTTTTTCCTGTTTCAGGACCATCACGTCAACTTCCCAAAGCAAGCATGTCAAACATGCAGTTCACTTTGCTGTTTATGAAATTTGGCTTTGGCCAGATTAGCAGTACAATTTGCAGGTTGTTTGTGGTCTTTATTCTTTGGCAGTTTTACAGTCTCACATTAACAACGCAGTGCTCAGAAGGATGGCTTTCTGCCTCTTGTCCTGTATGCCTGTGGCAGCCTGTCTTCTACTGTGCCTGACCCAGGAAAAGTCCTCATGTTGCTAGCAAAAGGTTTTTAGTTTTCCATTTATAGTTTCAGACTATCTGCTTTACCCAATGAAAAGAACCCCAGTTTTCTGAATTTCAAATGACATAACAAGTTACTTTCAGGTACCTAGAGCTAGAGCTGCTGAAGGACTAAAACACTTAGGTGCTTTAGTTAGTTAAACTAACTCCAAGGCATATTTTCCCTAGACTGAATTAAAACTGCAGGTAAGGACCTAGGTTTCCTACCTAGCGCAAGCAGAGAGTGATGCAATCTATATTCTTCATCTGCTGAGCACTTAGAGCTTGCTAACAAGACAGTCTGGGTGCAGGAGCATATTAGGAATCCTGCCTTACTCTTGAGCAACATGCAGAATCATGTAGAGATGCCCAAGCTAGCCCAGGAGGAGCCGGCTCAGTTAGCCAGCACCGGGTAGCCACATCAGTGCCTTGTTTGGCAAAGGCTAATAATGTATGTGGCTCCTTAGGATTATTTCCTCTTTGTCCCATAATCATTTAATGTCGAAATGTATAAACACTCTTGAGGAGACGGATTAGAGTAACTGGAATGAGATCCAAGGATTACAATGAGTCTGACAGTTTTAATACAATTTCCAGTCTGATTTCAAAGGTGTTTTCAGCATGCATAATTTCTCTTGTGGGAATATATATCAGTTTTACTGTATCTAAGTGTTTAGCAAAGAAAGAAATTCAGATTGCTACTTAAAATGCTTTTTCTTAGATGAGAACAATGCAGAATGGAAAACATAACGAGTTGTAATTTATGCGTTTTTAGCTGACCTAACCAGCAGTTTTTGTTTGACTGTAGGCTCAGTAGTATTAGTGAAAACTATCAGTCTTTGTCATAGTATCTGATTTTGTGTTGCTCTGGGAATTTACTGATGCTTTTATGAAATCCTTACATCTGTTCTGAAACGCTGCAAGACTTTTTCAAATGCCATTTACTTTCAAAACTGTGGAGCTCCTGATGGAAACATTTCTGTGTGAAAGCCAGGGGAAGAGATCAAGATTGATGGTGCCTAAGAAAGCCGGTAGCCAGAGATATATAGCTTATTCTGACATGCACTCGTAGATTTGCAGCAAAAGAATCCTATTTTCTGTCTCCAGTAATCATACATAAATACTTAATCTAAAAGGAAATGGGAGGTGTTATGGTGAGCTATAGATTTAAATTAGACAACTTGGGTTAAATCTATACTTACCAATATACACCATTTAGAGTTAGTGATAGGACACTATGCTCTCACAAAACAGAAGGGAGACATTACAAACCTAGAAGAAAGAGACATAGAAAGTGTGAAAACACTTATGTAACAGAATCTTTGCCATTCTGAATTGCATGTGGAATTGAAGAAAGGAAAGGGGTTACATTTATTGGTTGTGGCTTCTGGTTAGGGAGACCTAAAAGACTTCGAAGCCCCTCTCCTCCCCTCCAAAATGCTTTTGTCATTTATCCTCTATTGCTCAATGGAAGCAGTACTTTCAAGTTCCTGTCTCTTAGAACAAAACAGATAACATACGCTTATTTTCACTTTTTACTTCAAAAGAGGTGATGTCTTGCTGAACCTTTACACTGAGTAGATTATCTAATGATACAGCTCTGACCCAGCAGCAAGAATCGAAATCCCGAGAGCAAAGATGTGAGGCTAACTGGTATCAAACTTTCTCACTTTCTCTCACACTGAAACACAAAGAGTTACAAGTAGAGTAATTTATGTTAATTCTGCTTTTTGCATATAATTTTATTTCTGGAATTCTTCCAAGTTCAGGAGAGCTTAAATATTCTCTCAGTTCTTCAGTGTTGAACGATACCGGCTCCTATTTTTTGTGCTGCTAGTTTTCTACTTTTTCAAATCCCATTGTAGTGTAATTTTTCTACGAGTTGCTGGAAAAATACAGATTTAATATACCAACTCAGGAAGCTCAGGGACCAAGGATGCCTGCATAAATCAAATCTCTTGCTGAATAAAGGCACGAGTGTTTTTTTCCTTAGCCATCTTAAATGTGGATCAGAAAACAGTAATCAAGTTTGTGAGAACCAACGTGTGTGGTATATTTTTTCCTACTGTTGCATATCTGTGTTCTAGTATTGCATGTTAATTACTGCAGCTAAGGCATTTGCCCAACACTAGCTTCATAGTTCTTTGCAACAGCCTCTCTGCTTCTGGAGAGGTGCTTACTGAAAGACTTGCTGCCACCCTTCTGCAGGTCTTTCTCCTATCCTCTAATTGAGTCCCTTCCATAGTTATAATTTGTCTGCCAAATGACTTATCAGTTGGAAAGGCTCAAGTCAGATACTACTTCCTTTTTTGCTTGTTTTTAACTGAATGCTGCCAGAAGAAAGAAGGGGTTAAAGCGTGGGAGGATTGCTAAGAAAAAGGGGTTGGTTAATGACACGCAGGACTGCATCTCACACACCATAGTTTGTTTATTCTTCTGTAAACAGCAAAAAGAATTATCATCATCATGGTAAGGCAAACAGCACTCTTTTTTCCCCTCTTTAAACCCCACCAGAAATCATTGGGTTAATAGACGATTAATTTTTTTAATTCATAAAGCCAACTGATCTCCCTTAATTTTATAAAGCCTCTCTTTAACTGACAGATGCTACTGTTGACAGAAGGGGAGGGGGTAAAGATTTTAGTATATGGAAATAACTAGCTCTGGGGAAGAAGAGATGGGAGCAGGCATGCCTTTCTGACATGCCTGGTCTTTTTTATCAGCCTCCTTTCCTTGATACTCATGTGAGGATCTGTTCATTTTTTATTTATGCTTCTTTGTCTTTCCTGAGCTGTTTTGAAAGATTTCTATTTATTTGATTTTGTGTGATTTGCTTCTTTCAGTTTTTCAGGGGTTTTTTGACACATCCAATATCTAAATCTCTGTGTTTGGCACCTAAGAAATAATACAGGATTTATACTTATGTCTATGCTTGTTGAACTGATTAAGTCCTTTCAAAAAA